CCTTCTGTCCTTGTAAGGATCAGGGTTTCTTCTATTTCTTCCTCTTCTGGTGTGTTCCTATTATTATACATTACATCTGTTATAGTTGTCCCACAATTCTTAGATATTGTTCTTTGCTTTGTCTTGTTCTCTGTGATGATTTGAAAGTTGTTATTGTCATATCCTGAAACCTTTGAGATTTTTTCTAGCCATGTGCCACATACCCACAGCAGCACTCCTCGTTTCAGTTGTATTTTTTATCTATAGCATTTCTGTTTGTTCCTTTCTTAGACTTTCCATCTCTGCATATATATACATGCATACATACATACATACACATATACATACATACTATTATATATATCCCTTCTATTTTTGCATATTGCTTATTTTTGTACTAGATCTCTTTGAATTTTATAGTTTTTAAAAATTGTGGAGATTTTTTTGGTAATGGGAACTAGACCCAGGGTCTTATATATGCTTTACAGGTTTTCTACTCTATCCTATAGCCCCAGCTCAAATTTCTAAAAATTCTTGATTATATCATTCTGATGTCTCCATTTGTGTGGCTGAGATCTCCAAACTGCACTCTTGTTCTTTCCTGTAGTTTGCCATGCACCTTGTTGAAAGCCAGTCATAGGATAGACTGAGGAAAGAACTGTGGCTGTTGGTCAAGTCTGAGGAGAAGGCCTTCTGTCTTCTATAAGTGTAGCTTCTCTTTGATGAGGCCATGTCCCTGCTTGGGAACTCTGCCAGTATTTTCAGGCCTTATAGAGATAAGGATGGTTATTTCTTTCATGGGAAAGGATAGATAGTTGGGTATCTCCTTTCTCCTATGCACATAAGAGTGGTGTTGTACTTGAGTATTCCACCTGTTCCTGGTAGAAGCCTGGAGATGGCTAGAATTGAGACTTCCCTCATACCAGGTTGATTAGGCTCTTTTTAAAGAATCTGGAAGATAGAACCTGAGGAAAAGCAAATTTTCCAGAGAGAAGGGCTTGTTACAAAGAATAGACTGCTCTGGCATACTTCCAAATGTTTACTTTCCCCTGGAAGTTACAGAGAACTTTTCTCCAACATTCAGTGAGGATCCCAAGGCAAAATTCAAAACTCCTCCCTCTGAAGCTGCCAGAGAGGCCTCTGCTTATGTATTTCTGCTCTGTTGTGATTCCTCTCATTCACTTGCTTTGTCCTCCTGTGGGGTCACCTTACTTAGGTGTATTAGAGGTTTGCTTATCTCTAAGTCTTAGGCTGGAATAAGTCCTTCCAAACACCTCACATCCAAGATTGTAAGTCCTAATAGCACATTTAAAACCTGTATCTTAAATGATGGAATTAAATTCCTGTTGTAAGTAGCCTAAATGACACCTTCTGAGTATATAGAAGACTTGATTTCTGAATCTTCTATTTTATTTTCTTAAGTTTTAATCTCAATTATCTATTTTTCTATATACCTAGTTGATTTTGCTTAGATCCCAAATGCTATAAAATATAAAAATAATTACTTGAATTATCTCAATTAAGACTGGATTTGAGATATTTCAAATTTGGCTATATTTTAGTTTTTCTTTACTTTTAGGTTTTGTCTTAGTTACTTTTCTACTGCTGTGAAGAGACAACTTGTAAAAGAAAGCATTTTAGTTGGAGACTTACTTATTACAGCTTCAGAGGGTGAGTCCTTGAGTACTGTGGAAGGAAGTATGACTGTAGGAAGACAGGCTGGCACTGGAGCAGTAGCTGAGAGCTCATGTGCCGAGACACCAATCAAGAAACAGAGAGAGGGACAACTGTAATGGCACGAGCTTTTGAAACCTCAAAGCCCACACTCAGTCATGTATCTGTTCCAATATAGCCACACTTCCTAATCCACAAATATATGTGATGGGTAGTCTCCTTCTAACTACCACAGATTTAATCTCCTATGAACCAAGCCTGTTCATCAGTCTGGTTCCCAGGTCACTGATTTGATTTCCTAAACTCCCCTTCCTGATTCCCCAAGGCCATGCTTTCTGATGGGGCATTCCACTTTTCAAATTTGGTTAGGTATTCTAAGGTTCATGTTGTGAGTCATTGATTGATGTCTTGCCTCTTAGCTGCCTGTCAGAAGGCCTAGCTCATCTCTCTGGAGTTCCTTTTTATACCAAGTTTCTGTTTTACACATTTTAGTGTTTAGGGTTAGCATTTATTTTATTTTTTTAAGTTTTCAACCTTTTCCAGTTGATTTTAGAAGGGGCCTTGTTCTTGGGTTACCTAGTCTTTCTTCTAGACTGCCTTGCTCTGCTGTATTTTGAGCATTTGTCTGTTCTGTTCCTTCTAATTTGAGAAATTCTATGCCTCTTGCTCCCCAAGCCCCAGTTAACATCGTTTAACTCTGGCTATAGATGGGCACTGAAGACCACTTAGAGCTTTCACTGCCACCTGACTGGCTTAGATATTTTTATTACAGTATCTCATGACACTCTCCAATGCTTTCATTGTACTTGTGGATTATAATTACATATTGATGTTTTGTTTTCATTTAATGTTTATCTCCTTTTGTGGAATTTAAGACTCTTAAGAAAAAGCTGTATCTTGCTAATTATGATAGTGCATCTGTAATTTCAGCATTCAAGAGACTAAGACAAAAAGATGACGAGTTCTAGGCCAGCCTAGGGTATATGAAGCCCTGTCTCAAATCAATGAGCAAATAAATAAGCAGAAAATGTATAAGAAGGAGACCAATACCTGCCTTTCTCATTGTAGCTTCCAGCTGCAACGTCAGTGGAGAATTTAGAATTTTTTTCATAGGTGGAATATGTGTATGGATGGTGGAAAGAGACTACACTCATGATACAAATTAGAAGTTAAAGGAAGGAAGCAGCTATGCCCTTTAATGAGTTCTCAGAGGACAGAGATCATTTTTGTGGATAGCTCTGGGGTTGCTTGTATTTTGATGCTAATTCCACTTTCCTGGAAGGGGCTGCAGACAAGGAATGGGTCATCTACTCAGGTGACTTCTTGTGAACCATCCCCTAATGAATAAAGGAGCCAATCACTGAGCGAGTAGGTGGGACTTCCCAGTTGGATAGCAGAAGGGAGGAAGCAGGAGAGGGCCTTATTGGACAGGAATAGTGTGAGGACAAGACTTAGCTCCTAGTGTCTCCGGGTTTCTATGGTGGATCGGCCAGACTTTGCCACTAGAGGATTTAGATTTAATATAGATACAAGATTAGGATTCTAGTTGTTACACCCAGAGATTGAGATACCATTGTTTCTGAACTAAGTTTGTGTGGTGTTTTCCTTCCTGTTCTACTGAGAGAAAGGCAAAGCGTGGGTTTGCCAGATGTGCACCACAAAGGCCATGGGGTTTTAAAGCATGAGGCTAATGTGGTAGTGACCAGCCAGTGGGAACTTAGTGAGCTGGGAGGAGAGATTTTGGAGTTCTGAGTCAGAGAGTCTCCATGAGATAAGAACAGGGTGGCAAGATCCCTGGAGCTGAGAGTAGCTGGGCATAGCACGGGAACTTGACATTCTTTTTAAATATTTCCTACAAGAGATCATTCACTTATTTTTCTTACTTTGGTAAAATTATCACAAAATGTTTCAAATATAGTAAAAGTTTAACATGTTTTATAATATATGTAACTGTCATTATCACTCAGATTAAAAAATAGATACAGTATTTATATAAACGTACAGTCTACTCAAAGATAAACATGTCTATGGAATAATTATTTTGGCTTTTTTATTTTTGATATTTATTTATTTGTACAGGGGGCACTTGTTCCTACATTAGGGCACATGTGGAGGTCAGAGGTTGGGCAGTTGGTTCTCTAATTCCATATGTGGTTCCAGAGAATCAAACTCATGTCCTTAGGCATGGCAGCAAATGCTTGTACATACTGGATCCATCTTGATGGGGATATTTTGGCAAATGAAGAAGAAGGGTGTAAAAAAGGGACCATGAAGTGAAAACTTAAGGGTTCTTTGGAGAGTCAGTTGTGTTGGACGGTGTTTTGTTGGGGTAAACACGTTAAGGAGTGTTTTCCTAAAGTGGACACAGGTAATAGATTAAGACAGACTTGTGAAGGAACCTGTAATGAAAGATTCTTTGCTAACAACTTACACGTATTGTTCTGCCTTATATTGTGTTGTTGAGCTATATTTGTTGGGACTCCATAGAGAGAAATGCACCAAAAAAGTTTTGGTGGTATGTTATAGTTTCTTGTCGATTTTGTGGACTCAGGCTGATTGGCAAAGTGATGTCAGCTGAAACAGATGTATGTGCTGAGGCAAGACTTGTGGAAGACGTGATATTTGGAGAGACTATAAAAAGGACTCAATGGACAGTGATGGAGGTGGAGCTTGGCTTGTTTATAGAGCTGGCTGTGCAATGCTTGTGGGTTTCACATCTTTGTTGATCTTTGTTTCTCTAGAGAGAGACACAGCTGAGAACTTCTCTTGGCGTCCCTCCGGGTACCTTCTACTGACTTGTGTCGAGGCTGAGGCCTGGGTGTCTCTGCTAGGTAGTGTCACTGCTACTGATTTTTGTTTGTTATCCCAACTCTGTCGAACTAGACTGTTGGTATATCTGTGAAGTGTTTGCGAGTGGATCGAGCTGTCACTACTAACTTGTAAACCGAATTGTCAATTTCTAGACAATATAGATGCCAGTTGTTTGAAAGAAACTTTCAAACCAGGTCTGCTTCTTTGTATCCTTTCTTTCCCACTGCCTCTGGTGGATGGTGGACTAAAAGGGAGGTTAAAACATTTAAAAACCATTATTAAAAGTAGATTAAAAATTAAAGTTACAGGGCCATATTTATTTTTCTCATTGTAGCCTCGAGTTATGACATAAATGGAGAATTGAATATTCATAGATGGAATATATGGATGGTAGCTTGAAATGAGACTTCCATTCATGGACAATAGCAGAAGTTAAAGAAAGGAAGGAAACAATTGTGTCTTTGTAATGAAGCAGCTTACAGCAACTTACTCTTACTGACGTTTCAACTTAAGGAAATTTTTCTTCTAACTTTCAGATGATACAGCAGTGTTTGAGTTGATACAGCTAGTTCCACCAGGTATTGTATTATTTATTGATGACTCTTAATGGCAACTCATCCCAGTGAAAAGCTTCTAAATATCTCTGCTCCCCTCTTCTTACCAAATTAACAGCAATGCTTATTTTATATATAATTGATTCACTATGTATATGACAAAAGAGAGGTTGATATAAATGCCAGTTTGACTGCATTGCTCTGAAATTAAATAAGTTAAAATAATTGAAAGGAGAAAATAACATCTTTATAATTTGTGACAGTAATGTAAATTGATTTTTCAATATTTGAGATTCTAAAAATAAAATGACATATTTTTGTTAATTAAACAGGGGTTTTGTTTTTGTGTGTTGACTATTACTGGGAATGAAGATGATAGTAGCCCAAGGTGAACACTAGTTACTGAGGAGAGATGTTATCTATTAAAATATAAAGACTAGTTTTATTGCTGGTACTGCTTTCTAGGATTATCAAAAACCTTAGTTAAATCATTATTTTATGAAGCAGATACATAATTTTTATTAAATATAATTAATCCCAGAATTTTCAGTATTACATACATACTTAAGTTACTAGCCACAAACTCTACAAAATGTCTCTATTTTTAATGTCCAATTTTATACTCCATGACAGCAGGCAGAAGAGATAGAAGACAGGGAAGATGTTAAAGATGGTAATCAGCTTCGGATATATACATTTAATGCAACTTTGTATTTTTAAAGAACTTCCTTTTCTAAGAGTTTCTAGGTTCTTGCTGAGTATACATGAATATGCCTATTCTCCAAAGGTGTGAGGCAGATAATTAGTAATGTATAGTGTATTTCTGAAAACTAAAAAATGTATTAAAGTACTTAATGCATCCTTATTTTAATTTTCCTTTTATAGAAGATAAACATTGACTTCAAGCAGGCATACAATAAGGCATCAGGCATTATTTATATATTGATGAATTTTTTCTAAATAGAATGTTTTGTTATAATTTGAATCATAGGATATCTTTCTTATAGTGGGAGAAACACTGTCTACCTATGATGAAAATACACGAGATTTCATGTTCCCGGGTCCAAACCAAATTTCTGGACACCATGATTCAAACCGCCAGGTTACCATGAGGAGGATTTCTGGCCTAAGAGTAAGTAACACCAGTTTTTCAAGTAAGTTCTTAATGCAGGCTCGTGGGTGAGAACTGGAATACAGGCCTCTGTAATTTGTATGTATAAAACTAACTCAAATTTAACTTGGTTTCAAACTTGTTTTGTATAATCATCTTATTTTAAACATCCTTAATGAAAGTAATTTAGCAAAGCTTAAGGCACTTATCATCGAAGCTAACACAGCTCATATTGGCTGGTAAGTGCACCTCTTTTCTCCTCTGCATTATCCATCCTATCCTCAACCCCCACCCCCACCCCACCCCCACCCCCAGGTAATATTTAAAACTATAGCACTGATCTGGCTTGTTCAAGCAGCCACCAAGTTCCCAAGGCCTGAGGCCAAGAGCGGCAGGGTGCTCCCGCCACTGCTTGGCTCAGACAGCAGCTCCCCAAGACTCAATCCTGGTGGCTAGATCAGCCAATCCACCATGCTGTCCACAATGCTTGGCTGAGCCCAGATAATACCTGCCATCCCGCGGTACCCAGTAGAATGAAGACTCTTAATACTTAATGGCTATCCAATTGGCACATATATTTGGAAGTGCTCAATTAACAAGATGCCTACACAATTAGAATTGTAAACCCAATTAACTAACCTAGATATGAAAAACTACCAGAGACTACTAAAGACACACAGACTTTGCCAGCCATCTTCTCTCCTGCTCCTCCCCTTTCTCTCCTCGCTCCTCTCTTCGCTCCTCCCACATTATCCTCCCCCATCAGTTCCACTGCAAACAATGTAGCAGCAGCAGGAAACCATCCTGCTACACCCCCCATGTCTCTCTTTCTCTTTTCTCTGTTTCTGTTTAGGGAAGGTTCAGTGTATAGTTGAACACTAATCAGTCTTAACATTTAGGGAAACCAAAATTTAAAAACTAGTTTTTGGAACAAAGATGACTTATTGGGAAGTATTAATAAATATTATTTACAAATTAAGCACTTTTGTATGCTTGCTATATGCATATAAGCTACAAAAAAATCAAAACAAAATTACTTAATAAAGACCAAAAATTTTCTAGCACTTTACCTTCTAGATATGTGTCTTAAAAATATTCTTACTGGGATACCAAGAGCCCTCTTTCATTGTTTTTACCCTTGGTGCCAGAGAGAGGACCCAGGGTCTTCCAATAGACTTCAGCTGTCTACTGAGCCACACCTGCAGACTGAGATATTTTCTTATAGTGTTAACAGTGATAAATAGAAATAACTAAAACATCCAGCTCAGATAAATCTTCACTAGATAACTTATAAAGTGGTCATAGATTGAACACCTAAGTTTAAATGCTGCATTAAGAGCATCTTTCTTTCAAAGTGACAATAATTGTGTGACAAATCCACATCGTTAGATCCGTACTGCTGTCACACAAGGCTGTCCTATCCTCTCCTGTAACTCCTCGGATTTAAAAATCTTTATGAAAATGTGCCTGATATGCTCAGAAATGCCCACTTTGTTTTAGAAGCAGAGAAGGAAAAGTTGTTGAGCTTGCAGTTACTTGGGCAAGTAGTTTTAAAACTAATTTTGTGGAATCTTTAAATAATATTTAGTGTGTGGTATATGAGCTAATACAGTGAATTAAATATTTTCCTCTATGGCTGGGTTTATGATGAGCTGTGTTCAAAGAGACAGCAAGTTCAGTTGGCTCTGTAACAATCTGTGGAAACCCTTTCTCTCTGGGATATTTTTTACATCATTAGTCAGCTTTTATGCTTCAAAGATTATTTTGAGAGTCATGTGGAAGCCCACAAAGGAAAATAAATCATGTTTTAAGTTTATGTTCTCTTTAAGGTAATTTAAGTTGCGCTGTCATACAAAAACAGCAATAGAAAGTCAATCATGTACGGTTCACAAGAATTTCCCTTCTATCACTTAACAAGTTCCTTTTGCATATATTTGGAAGGTGTTTGATTAGGGAGGCAAAGACATATACAAACCAGGACTTCTGGTAATAGCTGCATGAGGACTTTGACAGGGCTTCTGTGTATATTAAGCAAATGCGAAGCTGAACAAAGTTATCATAGTCAATACGGGACAGTGAATGCTGACTAACTAGTTCAGCAAGCACATGACAGTTTTATGCTTGAAAATTGGCTCAAGTTTTGGGTAATATAGTAGGAATTTGGGGCTCCTTTGCTAGGATGCTCCATATCCTTCTGCTCAGTGACAACTGTATCTTTTCCAGCTGAGACTGGGCACAAAGAGCAGTGTCTTTGGCACCAGAGGTGGAGAAGTGGGGTGAATGCTTTGGTCTGTCAGCTAACTATGGTGGATCCTGTTGGTAGCAGATGGAGAAACCTCACAGCTGTTTGATGCCCAGGGCCCTTCTGACTAGGGTAAACAACACACCTTCTAGGAGGTTGACAGGGGTTCCAGGGGGCTGAGAGAAGCTCTCTCTCTCTCTCTTTTTCCTGTCTCACTTCAAAACTTATGTATAAGGGAGACAGTGGGAGATAAAAAGAAGCCCTGAGAAACTAGCCATAGCTGTGGATTTATTTTCTCACCATTATGGAAAGTCAGCAAAGTGGGGAGCCCAAGGTGGCTTCTATAAACAGCTGTAGAATACAGAAGACTTGAACAGAATGTAAACTGAACATCAAAATTGAGGTATAAATCTAACCTTATCAATAATTGTACTTACATATAAATAAAAATAAGTGCTCTAGTCAGTGGTTTATGATCCTGGCAAGCAACAGTGACTTGTCTTTAGAATTCTTGTCATTCTGAGCTACCATTTGTAAATCCTACTACTGTGACAAAGATTCATTTATCTGAAATTAAATCATGGCATTCTTACAGATTTCTTGGTAAGCTTGGACAGAGCACAGTGACCTGTAGATAGCGTGGGTTCATGGACGGGTTGATTTAACATGGAGATGATTGTGTTTTAACTGGTAATGGTTGTTGGTATCTCCTCCATAAACTCGAGTTCCACAGCATTCTTATCTTTGAACTGTAATCATACTCAGTATCTTATGAAGTAGTATTTCACAGATGCTTCTTGATTGAACTCATGAATGAATTACTTCTTGCAGAAGACTTCATGGAGCAACTCATATTTGAGATGGTGTGATTTCATTTTGTTAGTTTGCCTAGGCTCTAGTGCCTATGCAGTAATCTGGATGTTACTGTAAAGGCGTTGGATGATGTGGCAAAGACTCATAAATGATTGACTTCAAGTAAAGATTACTATAAAGATTACTACTTGACAATGCAAGTGGCCTTCATCTCAAGTTGGAGATTGCAGCAGCAAACACTAATACATCCTGAGGAAGGAAGAAGAATTATGCCTCATGGAAGCAATAGAAATCCTAGCTATTTCTAATATTCCAGCCTACTCTATAGACTTTCATGCTCAAAATAGTGTGTCAACTTATTCCTTAGTTGCCACCTTACTAATTTGCCCTTTGAATTTCTGAATTGTCATCTCTGAATGGTGTGAATTAGTTCCCTAAGGCAAATTTCTCTATGTATATGAATAGTCCTATTTCATGCTAGACTTCAAAGAGCTGGTAAAAATACTGGGTTAACTCTTGGGAACTCACATGTGATCATCAATACTCAGAGAAGTTTAAAGTGGGAGGCCACAGACTTGGTGGTGATAGTACTTCTTGGCATTAGTTCTGTATTTCCAGAAATTGTTATGCCTCTGCCTGGATCTCAGTACTACTAGGCACCAGTGGTTCTTATCTTCATTTTGTCCCCTTTGAACAGGAATGTCCACAGTGACTACCCATTACTTGCTGCACATGTGTACAGTGGGTGTTTGTCGTATAGATAGAAGAAGTTCATAGATCTTCTGATGGTGAAGATCTATATTCTAGGAATTATACTGACCCATAACCAAAGCACTTTACCTGTTTGAGGATTGACTTTACATGCCAACACCGGATTTTAAACTGAGTTTGTAAGATTGTAAAAAAGGTTATGACTTCTTGCTTCCTTTTTCCATTTGGGAGCATGAGTGTATTTTCTGTGTAAAAGGAATGAAATTTACATGAATGAAATATATATATATAAAATCTCCATTGGAAAGTCTAGTTCTGAGTTTTTGAATATGAACCAGACTATATCTATCTATAGTTGTAGATAATTGATACCGATTCTTAGGCAAGTCAGATTTACCCTTTGTAATGGATGTATTTTAAATTCTAAACTTAGTTGGTCATAGGCAGGGTTTGGAGAGGGGCTGGTCAGTGTCTGACTTCTATTGTCTTGGGAGAAGCTAGTCTATGGATATCTGACTTGGCTAACACATGGAGTATGTATAACGTGGATGTCCAGATGTTTCTTCAGGTGCTCTGTAACTGTCCCTTTGAACCATCTCCTTTTTTCCACTTATCTCAAAATGTTTAATCTGATTGCTGAAGTGTTGATAGAAATAGAATACACAGTAATATATAAATTATATTATAGGAAAAAGGCTATAGAAAAACTTCAGAGACCTCCTCTGTCTGAAGATTGCACAACTGGGACTCATCCAATTTATTTCATTAAAAACTTAATAGTCAGGAGGTATAGAAGGAGCTGGAGAAATGAAACAGAAGGGAAAAGTAATGGAATTCTATTTTAATCAAAATGCAGTAAAATATAATAAAAGAAAAAATTAATGGACAGTTAAATATTATATATTTATAATAGACAATGGTATTTTGATGTATGTAGAATTTATGGAATGGCTAAATAAAGCATTTCTTGATTACGTAGTTAAATGTCTTAAATTGTGAATATAAGGAGAGTTGGAATCAATTAAATACATTTACATCTATGACTAATATATCATAACTTAAGATCTTCAAACACTTTGGCAGAGAGACAGATGCAAATAAAAACAATTTTTTATTATGCCATGAAAGTAATATAATTATTCCTAACAAAATCATTAGCATTGAAACTACTAATTAGTAACATTTATCACTACTATGTTCTTTACAATAATAAACAGATCAAACTAATAAACGCGGTGCTCAGTCTTGACAAGTATTTGTTATTTTAGATCATGTTCTCATCACTAACTATTTCTCTTTCATGGCAATATGTCATAATACCATTTTCTAATCTCACAGGGAATTGCTCCAAAGCTGGAATTTTCTACAACTTCAGTGATCACCGAATGTCTGATAAGCTCAAGGAAGTGCCGCACTCAGGTTAAAATGATTAATGGCTTAACTGCTTCATTTGATTCATGTTAATGGTGTCTGGCAGGATTTAGAGAAATATATATAGATTTTGTTTTGGCCACATCTCTTTTCACCTCCCTCCCCTCAATCCTTGGTTTGAGTAAAGCAGTTAACAAAGTACTTAGCAGCTTGATTGCATCTTAGTAAACAGGAGAAGACCATGCTCAGCCCTGAGGCAGAGGGTACAGGAGAAGGCCAGGGCTCAGCTCTGTGGCAGAGGGCACCATGCTATGTCTGTTTGGTTATTTACTTACTTCATAGACTTTTTAATACAGGTAAAGGATTTTGAGATTAGCAATTGCCAGAAAAAAACTCAGTTGGAGATTTCCATACATTTTGCAGATGTTACAGGTGACTGCACAGAGGGCAGAGGATAGCTTTAAGCAAATGTGACTGAGGTTTCAGACTGGGGACTTGATGCTTATTGAATGTGACTTCTTGAATGTGTCTGATTCCTTAGAGGACTGTTGTTCAATGGAGTGACAGTACTGGTCCTGTCAGATCAAAGCAAGCTTGGATGTTCCAGCGCAAACAACTCCTGCTTTTGATGATTTCCTTCAATAAGCTTTGACACCTCTTATTCCTCATATTCTAATTGTTACTGGGCCACAGGGTAGTCTTCTGTTGGACAAGTGACCTTGCCCATGGTCATCGCTTCTGTGCTAACAGTTATGTAGCAGTGAGCTAGCTGTGATGAAGGACTGGCCACATACAAACCTTAGAGGATTCACTTGGGGCAGAACTGGGCCAGTTGTGGACAGAGTGGAATAATAATTTGCTCTATTACAGTCTTAAAGTTAATTTTCTGAAGATGATAACTGTGACCTTGGCTAAGACAGGTACAGTGAATTCCCAGAGTATTGGAGGAAGAGTTATTTTGTTAGCAAGATATTCAGGATTCCATAGAAGTCTGTAGCTTTTTTCATTTGGACAAAGATGCTGGAAGTCTGACCAGCTGTGCTTACAATGTATGGGAAACATTACTGACTTTCTTCTGAGGTACCCATTATATGAATTTGTAAATTGTTAAAGAGGCTTTGCTTAGAATTCAGTTTTCTCTCTGAACTAGAGTACATCATGAACTTGAATGAATAGAGAAAAATAGTTTTATTTTTTAATTCTTATGTGACATAAAGCATTCATCAGAAAGGCCTAAATATTTCAAGTGTATGTCTCAGCACAAGAGCCCATCTAATGTAAGGCCTTCCCCCTCAGTTATGGTCACTGCACTTTATGTACTTAATGAACTAACATTTTCTGGAAAAAATACTGTTGTTTTCTTTTTACTTGTTTTAAGCTGTCATTTGATCTTTATTTTAAAAAAGTAAGAGAGTAGGTTTTTATATCAGACAGTATTTAAAACTATGCTTTAGGTCTATAGATATAGCTTGATATGATTCAGTAGGCCATTTATCCTACCATGCTTGAGTTCCAGGGTTTAGTTCCCTGTCAAAGCCAAGGAGGGTGGAGATGGAGGAAGAGAAGAGAGAGGAGAGGAGGACTTGGGGAGGGGAGAGGAGAGAGGAGAGAGAAAGGAAATAGATGAGGAAAGGAGAGAAGGCTTGAAGAGGGAGGGAAAGGAGTAAAGTACTATTTTCAAACTTACAGTTTGTGTTTGTCAGCAATTTACTGAATTCAAAATATTAAGTATGTTGATACAAATTTCTAGGAGAAAATTACTTTTCTAATTCTTTTACCTGTTTTAAAGTAGAATCTACTGTTAGGTAGATATTGACGCCTTGACAGACTTTTAGTATGCTGGTAAGCACTTTATCCCTTAAATTTTGCTGTAAAACAGTTTAAAGTAGCAAGCACTTCTCAGTTCTGGACATTACAGAATGATTCTTTCAGTCCAGATTGGCTGGCTAAGCCTGAATGATTTGGGGTGTTTTCTCAAACTTGGCATTTGGCAGAAGTTGTATTTGGAGTGGGAATGTTCACCTTTGTCATTGAGCTTGATCTCAGCTAGGGTGATGAGCATGAGGCTCTTCATCTAGCAGCCTAATCATCACTTATTCACTTGCTGTAGGAAATATCTCGGAAGAGTTGGCAGTCTTTTTTAATACTTGGCTTTACGACTTTGTGATCTATTGATCAAAGACAGTTTTCATAGTCAAGCCTAGTATGGTTCTGGGGAAGAAACTATCATGGGTGTAGATATAGGAAAGGAAATCATGGAAGTCATTTTGGTAAGAGTATACACAGCCAGTATCTTAAGTTTTGGTTGTCAAAACTAGGGGCATTAAGGCATGGGCATGTTTGGACGTTATGAGTTGGAAATGGATGCCATGATGTTTGTAACTTCATTAAGAAAATGTATATAGGCCAAAAAATGTACTGAAGAAAGATGATATCTTGAGATCGGGTATAATCAGAGATGGGTATGTACAAAACAACTCAAGCATGGCTTTAGGAATTTGGCTGTGCCTGGAAGCCAACAATGTATTAAGAACAAGGAGATAGAAGGCCAGAGACTGATAGGACATGGGGGTTAATCACAGACACATCATAGAAGAAATAAGTTTAGGAAAACAAACTTTTGTGAAAGACAACAGATACAGTAGAACTGTTCAGAGGAGAAATTCAAGATGTGGTTAACAGAGCTGATTAAAGCTGAGCCAAAATCTAGATGTTTGAAGTGCTGCATGAATGTTTTAGGAAACCTCAAAAAACCTTTGTGGTTCTAGAGTGTCTCACTTATGAGAGTCAGTGTGATGTCATAGAGGTGGCTGACTGGGAGAAGAGGCCTGCCATACCCAGTGGAGCCACTGACCAACGTGGGAGAAGGACCTGGAGAACATCAAGAGGCAGAGAAGAAAATGACCTGATGTACTGGCCTGTAGAGAACTCAGAGATTATTCTCAATGGAAACATTCTGATTTTTTTCTTTGTATTTCTGACTCGGAAAAACTGGCTCTTATTTTGATTCACATATATATTTTTCTCACTTAGTCCTTGTACATAGGGAAGGGGTTGAGAAAGTGGAGAAGAAATTTGGACTGGTAGCTTTCTAAGGGACAGAAGTCAAGAAGATAAAGATCTTTAGCTGTTTGTTTTCCCAGCTAAAAATCATGACTCTAGAGAGTGTCTGAAGAAATATGTGATTTACTTCCAATCTAAATAGGAAGGCATTTGTAAGGCAGTGTAGCAGAATGAATGATTACCTGAATAGCAGCAAAGCTGGAGCTATCAGATTCGTTTTTATTTATGTCGTATTTTACTTTAGACAGGACCTCATTTATGTTGCCCATCTTGACTTAAAACTCTGAGCCACCGGAAGCTGTCTTGCCTCAGCCTTCCCCATAGCTAGATAAGTAGTTATATGTTGCTGAGCCTGGCACAGATTTATTATAAATTTAAAATTTTTCAGACAGCTACCATATTTATAACAAAATACAAGTATTAGTTATTAAAGTTTATAATCTTTGTTTTATGCATATTTACTTTTATAAAAAATATAGATCCAGAAAAAAGTTGGTGTTTTTATCTGTTATTGATTGTCAAGTTATGCTTTGGATCTGTTACTGCTCTATATTGTATATAATTCAAGTAAAACACTTCAGCAAAATAACTATTTTAGTTATTTTAGTTAGTACTTTAGATTGTTGTGTTGTACATATGTTATACATGATAACAGGAGAATGAATAAGACTTATTTTTCGTAGTTTCTTCATGATTTTACAACTAGCTAGACGAGTTTATTTTTAGACAAGATTCCTTTGTTGCCCAGGAGCATACTGCCTCAGCATCCTAGCCAGGATCAGACGTGTGACCACATTGTACTCAGCATGGGCTTTTTAGTTTTTTAAAACTTTATAGCCTATTACTTGGATATGTAAATATAAACAATAAACATTATTTGTATTATATTCTTAGCTTTCTGAAAAATAAACTTTTGACTTATTTTGAAAATAAGTGTATTTCTTGGAATTTTACAAGTGATTAAGCATTGGCCTTTAATTTATATTAAGCCCATGTTAGACTTTAGAAAGAAGTTTGATACAATAAGCGTTTTTTAACTGGGAGAATATGGATTTGATTTTTTTTTCTGGGTCAGCACAGATAATGATAGATCCAGTTGATTTTGGTACCTTTTGTATACTTTGAATTACTCTTAAATGCCTTTTTTCCATCTGTAGAGTTTTAGAAAGTACCTTCTGTCCACATGAACATTTATATTTTATCTTTAGGATAAATTTACTTACCATTCAGCTCCAGTTGAAAAATCCCACGGCAGACTGCAATGCAGAACATCAAGATCACAGAAGAAAAAGTCCAAGTCACCCGAGAGGAGTAAATACTGCATAAACACCAAGAACTACGAACAGCCTACAATTTCTTCAAAGTCACATTCTCCATCTCCCTACACAAAGAGACGAATGTGTGAGCTCTCAGAAGACACCCGGCGGCGGCTGGCCCATTTAAATCTGGGACCCTATGAATTCAAAAAGGAAACAGATAAGCCTCCATTTGTGATTAGACATGTATGTGCTCATAAGCATTTCCATTTGAAACTTATCAAATCTACACTGCCACTAAAATATTATGCTGAAACGGATTTCAATAAGTAGCTCATATAAATAATTTTCTTTCTTGAACTCTTAGCCATTGGCTAGAGGTAGAAACTAACATAAAATCCAATGAATATGCTTTTTGTTCCCCCTTTATGCCTTTAATACTGACAGATCAAGCTCTAGTATGAATGCCATATCAGCTCTTCTAAGTACCCATTCCTTCTCACCTTACACTGTGGGCAGTGTTATAACTCTACAGTTGAACTTGTAATTGACACCGATACTAAAATGCTAAAGTAGGGTTTTAAAGGAAAAAACAAAGTTTCTTATAAAAAGGATCCCATTCTAGCCTTTTAAAGAGTAATAGTGGAAGCAGGTGTCCTCTTGAGAGTAAGTCCTTTGGGAAAGCTTTGGATCTTCAATCTTTGAAGCCAGCCCTTGATTGATAGGTATGAGTAGGAGGGCCTTTGGGCTACTACAAACACTGCTTTAATGAGCGATATGTGTACAAGTATTTGAATAAATCCTTGTTTTTCAGTGCTTTTGGGTAAAGACCCAGGAATAAGCCTGTTAAGTCGTATCACAATTGTAAATTGAACCTGAAGGCTTGCCAAAGTGTTCCTCAGAGTGCCTGTACAATGTACATTCCCACATTCCAGCTGTGTAAAGGGGTTGTAGTTCCTACCTTCTCACAAGCACCTTCTCTTTTCTGTTTGCTCCTCCCTCCCCCCATATTTCTGTGAAAGTAACGAAGCAAGGGCCTTGTGGATACAGGCAAGCATTAGCCCAAGCCTGCTTCGTTTTCTCCTTAGTCCTCTTAGCATGAGTGGCATCTCATTGTGGTTTGGTTAGCATTTCTCTAGAGAATAATGATGTTAATCATCTTCTCATGTATTAGTGACTATCTTTTAGAGTATCTACTCAGGTTTTTTTCTCATTTGACAATCTTTTCTTTGTTGCTATAGTTGGAATTCTTCATATGACTTAGGTAATAATTTCTTATCAGATACATGAGTATTGGAGTGCTTTTTGGGCTACTTCATTGGGTTCTGTTACCTACAACCCTTCCAACCCTTATTCCATACCAATCCCTTCCAATCCCCCAACACTAGATAGGAGAGAGAAGGGAGGGGAAAGGGGGACATAGTGCTCGTTAGACTACTTCCTGCTGATTAGGGGCATTGGGTTCCTTAGGACTAGTCCAATCTCTCTCATCAGGATCTCCAGCAAAGCAACCCAGCAATCCAGCAACAGCAAAAGCATCAGCAGGAAGCAACAGCAGGAGGAACAGCAGCCACCCCAGGCCCTCTTAAGGCTATCGAATTTATACCCTCTCTAGTGTTACCAAAATTCCAGACATAAACTATTTGCAGCTGTCAAAAATTTTGCCCCTTGTAGAGGAAAAGACAATCATAATTAGCAGTTAGCAGCTGTGGACAATCTGAAGCAGCCCCATATCCAACACCTGGTATTAAAACAAAAACATATTTACATAACTGGGTTTTTAAGGAAGTCAAGATTCTTACTACATGTGACCTACATTTTCATTATCCCAAGTTAGCTTTTTACTCATTTTATTGTTCTTTGATTCAGAAAAGGTTTTAGTTTTGGTCAGTAGCCCATCTTTTTGATTTGTTACCTCACTGTGATATATTTATTGTTAGTCAGAAAATGTAGGTGACAAATAAGGTCAACTACAAAGTGCTCAACAAAAAGCAAGGCACTGTTTGAGTGTTTGCTAAGACAGGTAGGAAATTGGTAGACTCTTTGTAAGGAAGGCAGAGGAGGTCACCATAGGATGTTTTTATTTGTGTGTAACATTGTAGTAAAAAAAACAAACTATGAAACAGGATAGTACATTCTTAACTGGAAATTGGTTCTTTTTGGTCGCATTTAATTTCAGCTTTGTTAAAAATGAATTGTACATAAGCAATTAAACTCTGCCTTGGAACTCAGAGGCGCTGTGGAATTCACCTGCTGTGTGGCATATGCTTGCTAGTTGCTTAGCAATGCAGTAAGATTGAGAACCGGAAGGGAAGGTTGAAGTGCTCATTCACACTGCAAATCCTCTTTCCTCTAGGTTGATCCCCCAAGTCCCAGGACTGACAATTTTTTTGGATCACCTGGCAGAGACTGTGAACGAGATGGATGGGTCAGGATGCACAGTGGTAAGGGGAAGCTATATTTTTCCTACTATAGCTACCTGTGCTGATGTCAAGTCTTACATGGCACTGATAAATGAAAATATATTTTTTGCTGAATTATTGGATATCATGATAAAACTTTTTACAACTTGTTGTAGACTTATATATGTACTTCCTAGAAAGAATAAGATTTCTGTGCTGTTAAAAGTGGTTTATTCTTTGAGAGTATTAACTAATCCTATTGAACATTATGCTACTTTTCAGTAAAAATAACTTGTGTTGTACTCAACATTTTCTATACTAATTTGACTATGAAACGCATTTCTCATTTTAACATGCGTTAATTCATAGAGTAGATTTTAAGAACCACCATAGTGAAATAACCCAGTTATGGGTTTGAAAGACACACACACACACACACACACACACACACACACACACACACACACACATGCAAACACAGAGCTTCTTCTTTAAAACCAGAAATATGTTTGGCAGAATTGCCAATGGCCTGGAGCCAGGGCTTTGGGTAATCTGTGGTTTCAGATTCTGAGAACCCAACTCTTCCTACCCCAGTTGCTATGGTTATCAGCCCAAAGCCCACTATGTGTTTAGTCTGTAATGTTCTTGAGATATCTTGTGTTCCCTCTATGCAACATTGTTTGATTAGCCTCTCTCTGACTTAGTCCCATTGTATGATAGTTTCTGCTAACTGTCACATTTCCCTCCTGTAATAGACTATAAGATGCTACAGTTTTTAATAAGCTTGCTTGGCATAAGACAGATTGTGTATGACCCCATGATCCCAAACTTGATCTTTCTCCTTATTTCCCAATCTCCTTGTCCTCTCAGAAGCCTGTCACTGGGGAATGAATGGACTGTTGGTCCAGGTCAGAGAGATATTGAACTCTAGTTTTGTTTCTTAAACCCACATATACTAGCTTTGCATGTGGTTATAGGGAGTGAGTTATGGCAACCACATTTCCCTTTGTTTTATGAAGATTCACAGGACAGCAAAGGCCAGACTTAATGTCCTGAGTGGGCAGTAGATAAAGGATCATGGGTGGGAGGTGGTAAAGGAGGACATAGCAGAGGCTGTTTGAATATTCAAGCGGATACACCGTCACATCAAGGAATTTCTGTAGTAAGTAAAGAATTTACAGAGCAAAGTACATTTCTGTGGCATCATGACAAAGGAATGTTGTAGTGTCCTTTGTAGCTGAGCACCATGGAAGTTGCCCAAATAGAGATTGACACATAAGAAACTTAGCTATAATTGTAAGACTGGGGCTTGATTGAGAATTACTTTGACAAAAAGAATGAGTTTATACAGAAATACTTAAATTTAGAGTAAGACTCCTTAAATCCTTGCTTGAGGTCACAGTTGTTCCCTAGGAAATGAATCATACAAATCTGTGGATAAGGTTCAGCTAGGGCAAGAGAAAGGGTGTCGAGGTGAATTTATTACAAGAGTCCTACTGTGAATGATTCTGTGAGATTCAATGGGTCTGGTTTTCTTATAGCTGGCATAGAAGGGAATTGTTTCTGATTGTTAGTTGCTATTTAGCATTTGATTCTTTCAGCTGTCTATCATATCCAGTTGGTTAAGAAATCCACAATTTAGTGTTAGGTTTTTATGTCTAAATATACTTTTATATTCAGAAATTTTTGTTAATAAGAAAATCTTCTGATTATATTCATTATACTAGGCTGCCCGTGATGACATACAAAAATGTTGTAGAATGCTTCATTTAATAAGCAGATGACTGTGACATAATCTGCATTTATGGAGCTTCAGAAAGCCATGACCAATATGCTGGGAAGATAGCTTATCTTCTACCATGTCACTCAGTACTCACTTGACTTTGTTTAGGGAGGAGGGAGAGGAAAGACAGAGCAAGAAAGACAGTGACTAAGAACAAGATCCTAGCATCTCTTCTCAAGAACAATGATTATGTCTTGAAGCCTACTGTCATGACCTCATCTAAATGGGATCACCTCCCAGAAAACTATTACACTGACAGTGAGGGCTTCATCATAGGAATCTTATAGGAGGAGGTACAGATATTTAGTTTTTAACATGTTTTATGCCATCATTGGATAAGAAGCAATAACTAAAATTTAAGAATCTTTTCTGCTAGCACCTATTCCGACTACTTAGATTTCATTGTTTAATTATCATAGAAACTTTATGAAAGTTTAGAGTCTTATTATTTCTATTTTATAGGTAAAGAAACCATATGTTTGAAGTAGTTCAAGATCACAAATAGTATCTGAGTTAGTTCTTTTCTATTCCTTCAAACTTTTCCTAAATGGAGTCTCATTTATTATGCCCTACTCAAGTTCCTCCAGGTTTACAAAGCTTTTTTATTGTCTTCAGCCTTGAGGAATTACCCTCTGATACATTTTATATCATTAATTGCCTGTACCTTTTCTATGTCTAGCCTACTCTTTTATGCTTCTGGTGTCAAACATTATACAGTGTAACTAAAATAGATTGAATTCATGTCCATAGGCTATGAGTGTTATCTTCTTTGTCTCCTCATTTACAGCTTAGTTGGTTCTTAATTGTTGGTGAGAATGATTAAATGTAAACATTGGGAAACTGAACGTCAAAGTATAAGCTTAATTTGTAAAATGAAAGAAAATTATAAGGCTGTCAAATTATCCTGACTTTATAAATGGTTTTGTGAAAAGCAGAAGGCATACCAGTGTGTTAATATGGAAACTGTTGGTATATACTAGTTGCCAGGGATTATCATTTTAGTTTTTAAACCTAGCTTTGTGTGTGTGTGTGTGTGTGTGTGTGTGTGTGTGTGTGTGTGTGTGTATGTATGTATGTGTGTGTGTTTGAATTAAACAATGACCTTGTTAGACTTTGATTTCTTCTGCTGTGTATTTTCTTGTAGAGGAGCTAGACTTAGACTTTTTTTTTAAAAAACTTTGAAGAATAGTTGAAAGAATTTGATTCCTATTGATAGTAAGTTGAGACATTAACCTTGTGTGAAATACATTAATATTTTCACTGACATCTAGCATGGTTCAAGATATCAAGGAAACAAACATTAAATAAAAACTATCTTGTGTCTTGATACCTATAGATAGTGTTTTTCTGGATAAAGTTGAAAGAATAAAATATAGAAACTTTTGACTAGAATATGTAATGGGGGATAACAAATTAGAACTCTGACTTGCTTACTGAAAATCTAACAATCTAACAGATTATAATACTTCCAGCTTGAATAAAGTTTTGTGAATTATTTAGGTAATATCCATTTACTCTATGATGTCATTATTTGAGGAGAGATTTAGGATTTGATTTCAAAACTACTATTTGGTAGCTACTATACTGACATCTCTCACAGGTTATATAATGTAAGTCTGGATTTTGATTCTGACATAGATAAGCATTGTTTTCATGCTTTTGAAATGAGGACTGAATCAAAGATTTGGAGTATGTAACTTGACTGGAAAAAAATATATCTAAAGTGACAGAATTAGAAATTGAGCCCAGGCTTGCTTGAATTAGAATTTGATGTTGGAATTAGTTCCCCTTTTGCTTTTAATCCTGCTTTAGTCATTAGCAATTTCAGTAATATACAACTTTTAGACAATGTTATAAAAGATGGACATTAGACAAATTCGTAATATTGACCTAAAAGTGTAAGGAGAAGGATTGGGACCATAGGGTTAGTCTTGGAGCCGGAAGTATTCAGTGACAGCTGCTCCTCATCAAAGTCTACATGTTCAGTGTGCCATGCTGTAGATATAAGGAACATATCATGGTAAACTGGTTTAGTGACTGAAATTGCACTTTTTTTCAGACTCATTGGTTTACCAAAAAGAATTATATTATGTCCCTGTATAATAATAACTTCCTACTCTAATGAAGCTCATTTCTTGCCTTTCTAATGTTGATAATTGATCCTTTGTTCTGTACCTTTTGCAGATCATCCTCATCTTGGCTGCTGCAGATCCAAGGACTACAAGGTGTGTTAAACCAATTATGACAACTTCCCTGGTTTTCAGACAGCATTAGTATATTTCTGCTATACAAATCCTGGCAGAAATGATCATTTTCATTTTATAAAATAACATGAAAGCAATAATTGACATAGCATGTCATGTCATGGCTTTGATATCTGTGCCAAGGAGGTACAATAGGCCTTCTCTGAATGTCTTCCTACAGATATGCTGTGGGTTTCATTATCTATTTGGACTAATTGTTGAAATTCGTGTGTGTGTGTGTGTGTGTGTGTGTGTTAGATTGGGGGGAGAGAGACCCACATATGTACATGTATACTATGTACAAAAACATTGGCTTGTGTAATATGATGTGTGTATTTAATGCATATATGTAATATATTATATATGCACACACACAGATACACATGTATTTGCATGTGTAATATGAGTATGTGTTTAATGCATTTAAATATTAAATTATATATATGTACACACATACATGTATATACATATATATTATATATGTATGTAACATCTACACATACATACCTGCGTACACAGGAGAAATAGCATCATGTCTAGTATCTTACATGGAATCATGAGGATTTCTTAGTTATTCTAAAGGCAGACTTTCTTTGTTCACTTCCTTTAATTAATGCTACATAGTTTGTAATTATTTATTTTCATCTTTGTTTACAGTCCTTTCTAATCAATAAGTATTAGGATATCAATAATTTTTACTAATATTACTTAATAATTGCTATTATCTAGTATATTAATATATAATATGACATGTATAATATATATATATATACACACACACACACACACACACACACACATGTATAATGCCAATTGTGTGAGTAGATTGTTGTTGACTAGTTTATTTAGAGATAGATATGAAGACACTTTTCCCAGTGTGTTCTACTAAGAACTGCACCTCAAAACAGCTTTAATCTTCTACCTTCCTCTAGAGTCATTACTTTTAGGGCTTCCCTTGGAGACAATGACTGGGGAATAAATTCATAGATAATTTCTTTATCCAGGATGGAGATTTTCATGGAAATGCATCTGTCACATTGACTATGGAAAGAATAAAAGATTATTTTATGGACAAATAGTAGTTAGTTGGTAAATACACAGGTAGTAGAGAAATAAAGGATTTCAACAGGAAAAAAACTGTGAAGCTTGGAGTGTTCTGGAGAGTTTATAGAAAAGGGCACTTTTTTTTTGAAGCCTCTGGAGACATATAGGAAGGGAGAGACGAGTAAATCTTCAGAAGGAAAGCAACATGAGGATATGTTGGAGTTCAATATTCATTGAGAAAAGAGAAATTAGTGATGGATTTGAATGATGGTTGTGCTGAGGGATGACCGCATCCTTCTTATCCTGAGGGTGTCGCACACCTGGTATAGCCTCTGTCTCCTCCTTGACAGTTTTTAAATTTTCAGTCTTGATTTGGTCTTTTGAACAAATTCAATTCTCCTTAATGTAGATGCTTAATAATCATCTTTTTTCATAAATACTCATTCTTTTAGTTTCATTTTTGTTCTACTGTTTAATCCATCCTTAACTAGTGTCTTCTTTCTTCTTATGTATAGTTCGGCCTTATGTATATTGGTCCTCATTGGAGAAGACATCTTCAAAGGACATTTTGAGTATTTACAGTGTTAGTGTTACAGTTACATAGGGAAAGTGGTTTGATGGATGCTGAGCTGTTCCTATACTTTTAATGTGTTTTTTTTTTGTTTTAATGTTCACATCATTTTTGCATCTTAACCTTATACCATCAGTGTTTTTTAAACTTTTTCTGACTCTGTATCTCTTAATTTTTGTTCTCAAACTAGTTCTTTCCTAAGAGCATCACTTTCTCCCTACAACTCCTCAGCTGTTCTAATGTGCAAATGGAAAAATTTTATATTTTCATACAGAATTTGTTTTACATATACACACATTTATATTAGGGCATGTGTGTATATCTATGTACACATGTGATTAGATCTACCTAATATCTGATATCTTACATAGCTTCCCTTTTTTTGTATTGATTTATTTATTTTATGTATGTGAGTACACTGTCGCTCTCTTCAGACACACCCAAAGAGGACATCAGATCCCATTACAGATGATTGTGAGCCACCATGTGATTGCTGGAAATTGAACTCAGGACCTCTGGAAGAGCAGTCAGTGCTCTCACCTGCTGAGCCATCTCTCCAGCCCTCTTACATAGCTTCTTGATGAGAACATTTAAAGTCTTAGTACTTTTCACATAGTAAGTCCCTACATTTAACTGTAGTCACCATGTACAATAGATCTCTGCATTCCCTTTATCTTTTCTACTTGAAACCCTGTCCTTTATACCAAAGGCCTCCCCACTGTGCCCTTGATGGTCTCTGCTTTACACCCTCCTTCTATGAATAGTTTTACAGAGTCTACAGGTAAGTGAGGTCATAGTCATTTGCTTTTCTGTGTCTGGCTTATTTATCAAAATGACTTCTGGAATCATGCATTTTATTGCAAATAGCAGGACTTCCTTACTTTTTAAGGTCACATAATATTCCACTATATCACATTTTCCCAATTTTCATCTGTTGATGGACACAAATTGATTTCATATGAGCTCATTATTTCATGAGAGCTGTTGCTAAATGCAGATAAGAACCAGTGCAACTCATGTTTCTTCCCTGCTGTTTCCTTAGAGACATAAGCTTGGAAGTTATGTGGTCTATTTTCCGATCTATTTTAGGCAAGAGTTTTATTAAAAAATTTTGCTGCCGTTTTATATGAATCTTAACTTTTCTATCCCCAAATGTCTGTTCCCTTGCTTCCTGCTCCCAAGGAATGCATAAATGAATATTTCACTTTATGTTAAGGGTAGTATATTAAAATATCAACTTCTGAATTGCTCAGGGTAATGCTATTTGTTATACAAACAAGACTCTTAACTTCAGAAGCTAAATACAGTAGAGATTTAAAATTTAATCATTTAATAAATAGAAGGTGCTTCTCAACTTCTGGTTGAATCCTATGCATTAGCCCTTTTGTGGCTCTTCTTAATCTTCGACTTCACAGGCACCTTTGTAGACATGGAGAAGGCTCTGTTTCTTAAGAGCCTGGACTTGTCTATGTTTGGTTGCCAAGAACTGACCACAGTTCCTCCCCTGAGGAAAAGGTTGTTTCTTAGCAATATCTTTACCCTGGAGGACAAGTTGAGTTTGGTGATGTCTAGTGGTTTCTATGGTATTCTAGATTTGAATTTCTTTCCTGACCCTTGACAAGGATTTTGTGACTGAAACTATCATGCTGGAAATAAAATTGTTACACAACTAGAAATCATCTCCATTCTTGTTGGCATTCCATAGTAATGTGAATGTTCATAGCATCCAGTGTATTTGGGCCATAAAACATACCAGGGATGATATACATGATGCTTTGACATTATGTTCATCACCTTCCCATTAGTTTAAACTTTTTGTAGGTCTTATTTTATTTAGTATGTATTTTGCTTGCATGTGTACCATTTGCATGCTTTATGCTCATGAAGGTCAAAAGAGGGCACCAGATACTATAGAATTGGAGGTAAGGGTATTTGTAAACCACCATGTGGGTGCTGGGAACCAAAGTTGGGTCCTATTCGAGAGCAAAGCTGTAACCCCTTGAACCAATCCTCCAGCCACAGCTTTGATTATCATAACAGATACTTGAGATAATTTCTTATAAAAAAAAAAAAACCCGTCTGACTCACAGAGTTCCAGGCTCTAGATCACTGTTCATTGGCAGCATTGCTTTGGCAAGGTATCATATCATGGTGCAAGCATGTGGCAGAGCCAACCCACTTCCATCAGGAGCCAGAGTGCATGAGAGATGTACACTAGATCCTACCATCTCCTAAGACCTTCTAGTAGGCTCTACACTTAATGCTTCTACCAACTTCCGATGAATCCTTTCTGAGGATCAAACTTTTATCACATGGGCCTTTTCACAGCATGTAAGAATTAGACCATTAGCAGTTAAAATCTAAAGGATTTAGCATGTTCCAGAATTGGAAGGCATCTTGAGAACCTTGGTCTGTGGTTCTAATGAATCATTGGTGAAATTTCGTCATTTAAAAATGAGCAGACTCATTATTAATGTTAAATAATCTATATAAAAGCCTTATTACATATGAAAAGTTTAAATCTGGCTTGGAAGGAGCATGTAACAAACTGAGAAAAAAAAAGCCTATGAAAGTCTCTCAGTGCTCGCTGACTATGTTGGGACTTCAACCAAATGATCTCAAAGTTAGGACTTGAATCTATGATTCTGAAAGTCAGAGGTGAGCTCTCCAGGAGGCAGTTCACCTGTGAAGAAAGCCAGCAGGCAAACAACAGCAAATTCCAAAAGGCAAATCAAAACACAACAGTCAGAGAAGTAACCTAGGGTGCTGCTGCAATGAGAACAGCTAAAGCTCTCATTCCCTGGACAGCTCAAAGATGAATTTAGCAATGTACAGTTGTTCATGTACATGAAACTTACTCCTATAAACTCATACAAAATACCAGACAGTTCTATTGTAGAACTATTAGCAATACATTACCAGTTTTCAAGTCTAATGAACACATGAAAATATCACTAAGAGGGTTCTGCAGTCCTGGAAGACAGTGAACTTAGCTTTGAACTTGGTGTAACAAACCCACTACAAGAGCTATTTTACCATGGCAGCTAGAGAGACCCCTGAGAAAGGACGCTGAAAGGATCTTAGAGGATAATAGAGGAAGGTGCTATTTACCCATTGAGGGTTTTTATCTGTGTCTAAGATCTTTGCATCTGTATACTTTAGTGGGCTCAGAGCTGTCAACAGCTAATTCACTAGATGTCTCCCCCAATCTGTATGCTCTGTTGATTTTAAGGGAAGCTTTTTAGGGCATAATGTAGAAAGAGGGCACCATCTTGACAGTAGTGTCTCTGAAAGTGAAAGTTTAAGAGATGATATTTATAGAGTTTGGAATCATGAACATTTTAATAGGGGGCTTTTAGTATGAGAATCTAATTAACAACATTTGTATATAAAAGATTAGGGTTAATAAACACAGAGGCTAGAGGCTTCTCAAGTCATAATAGTGGAGCAGTGAAGAAATATTCTTCTGTTCTGAGACTGGAATTGCTTGTTCACACAAAGAGAAGAATCAGTATTGTTTTCCCTTCTCAGGAGAAGTCATGTGAAATGAAGGTGGGCTTTAGTTCTTCACATATGGATAGTTAAGCCATATGGATGCAAGTGTTCTGGATTTTCCTATTTCACTAGTTACATATTTTTCCCTTAATGCATTACTCATCATTAGATTTGTTGAACTCTACATGACAAACTTTAGTTGCATCCTTTTCTTCAAATGATGTAATTTTGTGTTCTTATTTCTCAAAGAAACTCTTATTGTGTGTATGTACCACATTGTCTCTCCTCCTCCATCAGCCTGTTATGGATACTTGGCTAGATTCCCTAATGTGGCTATTGTATCTTCAGATCCTTAGTACGATGGCCTCCTTACTGTGAGGCACCTGCTGACTGCTCCTTTAAAAACAATTCCTTTTCATCAGCTTCCACTCCACACTTGCATTTCTGATCTCCTTTCTTTTACTTTCTTTAGTGAAACTTAATACTCCTTGGAATGCTTCATATTTTACGTATGCATCATGTTCTATGTTTATGTCTTAAAACTACTTCACCTTATTGGAATTCTACTAGAATACAAGTACCACCATAGCTAAACTAAGCAATCTGTGGTTCATTCATATGTGTTCTTTATTTTATATACACCAAGCTGTATACTTGTTCCACCACTACTCAAAAATGTTTTGAGTTAATGAAATTTTATCATGTCATGATATCTAAACTTGACCTGAATAAGGACAATAGATATGCTTAAGTGGATGGAGGAGAGCTCAAGTAGCCTCAGCCATACACAAAGAACTACAGGCAACTAAGTAATGCTCAGAGTAGGAGGAATAGTTTTACTCAGGAAGAGCACATCAGTTGATTAGCCAATGGTTAACAGACTGAGCAAGTTGTTTTTATATATTTAGAAACATACATGTAACAACAATTAATGAAAATGACAATATAGATTTGAAAGAGACCAAAGCAGGGGGTATATAGGAACATTTGGAGGCAGGAAAGTGTTAGAAGGTTGATATAATTACTATTTCCAAAAAATAAAAGGAATAGTTAAAAATTCTAATTAAATAAAAAATAAAGAAATTAAAAATTATATAGTAAGTATATATATGTATGTGTATGTATGTATGTATGTATATAGATAGATACACATTTTTTTTAACAGGTTATCAGGTCACCACATGGGAGAGACTTCGAGGATCCCTTTGAAAGGTGTGAAGAATATTTGAGCCCAAGGACATGTAGCAAGCCCCAGCATTCTGCAAGGACCTTACTAGTCCATTCAGCACCTTCAACAACACCAAAGCATTGTGCAAGCCCTGTGCTAAATAGAGCCTCTCTCAGGGAAAGGTAAGTGTAGTTTCTGTTTTTCCTCATCTTTTCATTTTGAGCAGAAGGATCACTTGTTCAAACCCAGCCTGGGCTACACCTGTCGTTTTTGAATATTCAGCACTAGAAACAGAAAACAGCATATTCATATGAAACAATTATTTATAAAATTAAATTTTGATTTTGAGACTTAAGTTGTTTGTTTCAAATATATTAATACATTATGTTAGTATTTCTCCATAGCACAATTCACTTGACACAAGCTTGTTAGCCAGATCTGGCTCTTTATTTCTAATTAGTTAATTTAATTTATTAAAAGTGAAAATCTGAATGTGTGATAGGTTGTTTTAGTAGAAACCCCTGGTGATTTATTATAATTGGTTTGTCTTTAAGTATACAAATAGTCTACACTGAATTTTCTGATTAGTCCCAAGGATAAAATACGCTTTATTGTGTGGTATCTGGCTTCTCATTTACCTCCTGCCAGCAACCGAGAAGAATCTAAATCATGGAAAGAGGTTAGCTCTCTCACTAAGAATGTTTGTGTCCCAAATCAGAAGGATTGTTATATGTGGGCATGGGAAAAATACCCACCATTTTACATAAAACTGCTTTTTCTCATTAAAAAATCTAGTCTATTTTTTTTAACAGAAAAGTTTGAAACACAAGAGATACAATTTTAACACCTTGACTCTCATATCCCATGTTTATATATGGCATAAAACAGTAGCCACTCAATTCTTAAAACATATTAAGTTCATTCATTAACAAATATTTAATCGGCTGTAGAAACTCTATCAATAGTCCTGCTGAAAACAGCTACCCTGAACAAGATTATGGCTGCTGTATTAAAACATCCCGCTCTGAAAAAAAAAAAAAAAAACAAAAAAAAAAAACATCCCGCTCTGAACTGATAAGTTTATCTGTTTCCCCATTAGCTTTGTAAGCATTTGGACTGGGGGAGGGGGAAGGGAAAAGAGGGTAATGTATGTATGTGATACTAGCCACTTGATACGGACATACAGAATAGTTTTAATTTAATTTAAATTTGTTTTTTGAGAATTTCATGCTTGAGTGCTATATTTACATCATTTCTCTATTCTCCCTCCCTTTGAGTCCCTGTTTTAGTAAATATTTCATCTTAAATTGGGGTTTCTATTCCACCTTTGATCATTCAGTTCCCAAATAAAAGACACACAGCTTTTATATTTATAATAAGCCTTAATTAACAATAAAGCTGGGCTGGGCAGATATCTATCCTCTTAGCTATTAGTTTCTATTTCCCCATCAATAACCCTGAGCTATAGCTAGTCATATTCTATCTGGGCTGCTCTTAACTCCAATTGGCCAGCTCTCATAGCCATGTTTTCATGATTCTCCCAACCCATAGCATCTTTTCCCCTTTCCATCTTCTTCCTCCTCCTCTTCCACTTTCCCCCATCTCCTTCTTGTGGTCCCATCCTTAGACCTCAAGCCTGGGAACTTAAACTCTGCCTATCTTCTTCTGTCCAGCTATAGGCTGTAGGTATCTTTATTCACCAGTCAGGGATAACTTGGGGGTCAAGGTTACATAGCATCACTTGGGTCTATTTGAGGATGGGGATTAGTATTTAGCATTGCAATACATAGCAAAAGACTAAACATCAACAACTTTCCCCATGTCCCTCTTAAATTCATGACCTCTTCTATAATCATTATTGTTATACACACATGTATATAAATGTACCTACTAAATGCCTTTAGTGTTGCTCATATGAACAACTTGTGCTTGAGATAACCACTTATTATATAACCTATAGGGGTCTCTTCCCTGGAGAGGTCTGATTCTTTTGTCAGTGGCCACTGACTTCCTGTAGCTCTTCATGTAGGGTTGAGGCCTTGGGGAATTTTTCTAATCCATATCAGTATGTCACCTGGTACTGTCATTACATAGATCTTGTTTTTGCTACCATATTATTGAGAGTTCATGGGTACATCCTCCCTTTCATGGCTACAAGATACTACCTTGCAGTAGGCATACTGGTCCTCTGACTTGTAAGATTTTTTCCACTCCCTCTTCTGTCATATTCCCTGAGCCTTAATTGTAAGGTTATGTTGTACATGTACCAATTAGAGCTGGACACCTTGCCATTACTTTCTCCATTTTGACCAGTTGTAGAGTAAGATACAGAATTTTGATTGATGCCATTTCTAGTTCATTAGAATCATGCCTAGTGATTGGCATTGGGATAAAGCAGTGCTCTCATGTGGTGTGTGCACACACATGCACACACATGCATACACTCCCTCACTTTAGAAGTTTATTAGAAACTCTTGAAAGGAGATTGGTTTCTGAAGAAGTCTGATGACTTCAATCTCACTACAGGGGGCTTTTCATGATTTCTACATTTGCTTAGATGTTCAGATACAGTGAATATATCTGTTAAATCTTTCATATGACTAATATGTTACTGTGGTTTTGTTCTTATACTTTTCATGTGTATATGTTTCCAAGAATGGTTTTACTTATATTGTAAATATTTGTAAATATTGTGTTGTGGCATTTTATATTTTAAAATGTATTTTGTACAGTTCTCCAATTCTACATAGACTACAATAGCACAGGATCTTGAGAAGTTATTTTATCTGTATATACAATTTTGAATGCCTGTGAATTCTTTATGGAGTATAATTAGAATTAACTTTTCAGTTATATTTCAATGGGAGAAATAATTTCAGAGTAAATATTACTATTTGCATTTTCTCTCTTTCAACTTGCCTCAAGTTTTATGAGACCTGATTTCACTCAGTAACCCCAGCTGACCTGAAAATTGTTATGTAGACTGACTTGTGCTGATCCCCCTGTGTCTACCTCAGGAGGGATAAGACACTTATTTCCTGATGAGTAAATGTGTTTAAGCTTTTTGCTAAAATAGAGTGAGTGTCTTTAATATTCAGTGTTGCCTGTTTTACTTTTGATTGAATGAAGTGCTCAAGCTTTTTGCCAAAACAAAATGAGTGTCTTTAATATTCAACATTGTCTGTTTTATTTTTGATTTGATGATTGGATGAAAGTAATACACATTTAAAATAAATGGTAAATGAATTTGAACTCATCAAGATGAGTTAAAATTTTATTAATGTATTGTTTGTGGCAAGCATAATATTTTTTCCCACCAACATGTAACAGCTCTATTTCAATGCATTTAATAAAGAAGAATATTCTTCTAGTGTTCAACTCATAATATCAGGGGCAAAAATATTTTATTCTTTTCAGGATTCAGTAGCCCTCTTTAAATAGATGGTTGTCTTGGGTTTGATGTTCCTAAGTCACTAGTAGTATATTTGCAGATGTTTACAGAATCCATTGAAGTCATGAAACAATATAAATTGATCTAAATGTATATTATATATCCCAGGAAAAAAATGGAATTTTTTCTAGCAGTTGTATGTCAGAGACAAAGCTGCAGAAGTTTTTTATGTATAGTAGTCATTAAAATTATATTTTCTCTACAAGTGAAATAAGATGGTAACCCCTTGATCATATATTTTAATAAACATTTAAAAATTTATTAGTTTTAGGCAATAAATTCTTATTTTAGTGAAGTTGCTGTTTTCTTTTCACCCATTTAAAAACATACATTCAGAAATTCCCATGCCATAAAATGGTTCCAATTTTGAGTATAAGCATTTCAGAAGCATATTTTTAAGTATAAATATTAATATTATAACTCCAGATTTGTTTTACACTTTACATTGTTACTAAAATAAGGCTTGAATATTAGCATACCTAATTAAAAAGGAATTGGTATCCTTTTAAATCATGCTTAAGATTTTTCTTTTCTGAATCATATTAGAGCTTCTGAGGGAAGCATTTCTTATACCATAGCACAGACTAGTGGACCTATTTATAGTGTCTTTGGGGAGGCCCTGGAGTTGCACAATTGCATCTCATATTTACACAATGGGCTTCATGTACTGAAATAATTATTCTGCCAATCCACTTGCATAGGTGTAACCTAATCTTCCTTTTATCTATGTGACAGTTTAGGTTTGGGATTATCTATTAAATTTATTGTTTATTTATTCCTTTAAAGTAGATCCTTTAAACCATTCACGTATTTAATGATTTGTACTTTGTGTAATAATGTAATATTCTAATTGTGTTAGAATTGTATGTGAAAATGAAAAGGACCAAATTTAAGTAATATATTAACATACTTCCCATTTCTTTATAGGAGAATTATCAATATCACTTCAAATATAGGTTATAGTTAGGGGGTCTGGAAATTTTCATGATGACCTGAATAAAATAAAATACGTTAATTATATGAACATCAATTTTGAATTAAAGAAGAGCACAATGGAAAGAAAATGATGCTTTACTTCTTCTCTGACATTTTAAATCCCAATATGCAGACTCTAATTAAAGTCATACTTTTCTCATCTATATTTTAATATTTCACATTTAAAAATACGATTCTTACAGTGAATAGAGAGGTGACATTACCTTTGTTAAAAAGGAACCATTTTATTTGTATTCCAAAGGAATATGAGTAGATTTTAAGTAGTATTTTCATCTCTTATATATAAGATATTTCTCATATTATAAAGCTTATGTGTTGAATGTAGCTTCCTGTTTCTTCCACATAGTTTCAAAGTATATTAAATTGTTAGAGAATAAATGCTAATTTTAAAGACATTGTACATGGAATTATTTTAAAGAATTTTAAATATTTATTCTTTAAATATTTAAATATTTAAAGAATTTTAAAGACATTGTACATGGAATTATTGTTCTGATTTGAAAGTTTACATGTTTATTTAAAAATAAGTGCTAAAGAGTAATGTGTGAAAAGTCTTAAAGATAGGTAGGGATAGGCTTCCAGATACATATCAAAATGAATTATTAAGACTATTTTTAGACACTGTAGAAAATTAATAGTGTGGCTGAGAATAAGTGTCTGAATATTTGGCCAAAGGAAAAATTACATTATTTTAAGTTCATAAAGTTGGAGAAAATTTTTGTTTCTTTCCTGTCTTTAACATTTATTCTTTCTTTCATTTTCTTGTGCCCACAGATTCCACTCTGATTGGTGTTCACCTCCAAATTGCGATGAGATCCATGACCGGGTAAAAGATGTCTTGAAATCACATCAAGCTCATGCAAGACATTTATGTGTTAGTTTCTAAAATTTTCTCTTTATTGAAGACATTTTAATAGGCTCTCCAAACCAGCTGAAGTGCTTGCAGGTTGTGATTCTTAGTTACAGAGAAGGAAAATGCATTCTCTGAAGGAGTCCCCAGATTTCCTATGAGCAACATAGGTTGCTTGGCCAGAATCATATAAAATGTCTTTTGTTTATAATTTTATATATTTTATTACATGTATTTATATATATATATATTGTGTGTGTGTACATGTACACATGTGCTATGACACATGTGGAGGTCAGTGAATAATGTTGCTGAAATCAGTTTATCAGTTCTCTCCTTGTACCACGTGTTTCTTGGGGAACAAAATCAGTTCATCAAGGCCGGAAGCGAGTGCCTTCACTGACTGAGCTGTCTTGGGGTCCTAGGGTTTTGCTGTTGTTGTTGTTGTTTCATGTTTCAATATTAGATATTTATCATTGGTCAAAAACTATAAGCATTTTTAGTCACAATCTCATAAAAAGTCACTAAATAGTTACTTCATAACTAGGCTTTCATAATATGGGAACTCTTTGTTTAGTGCATTTGGTGAAGGTGTGTTTGATTCTATAGGTAGGCGTGAGGTAGGGGATGTGTGGAGGGCCTCTTTTGAAGTTAGTTGTCTGGCTGATTTATGTGTCAATAAATACACAAAAGAAAAAAGAGCAGGTCAAATTATTTTATGTAAGAGCTGTATATAACATTTTTTGAGATAAAGCAAATGCAGTTATGTTCATGGTATCTTGATGTCATAACAGTATAATATTTTTGTATTAGGTTTTTAAATTTCATTCATTAATTTAAAACAATTGTCATAATTTGTATCTTTCAAGTCATATTAGTCTTCTTTTACACAAAGAAAAAACCAGCATTTTAATGGTTTAAATTAAAAATTATAACTTGTTTTCCTTTTTACTATTTTAACTATTCTATTTTAAAAACTATTGTTATTACTTGGACCATTGCTCCAGCATATATACATTGCAAATTATTTCTATGATGACCTTTCTAATAGTATTTAGTATTGAGGCAGGAAAGCATTGAACTTTCTCTATGTTTACTATCACATATTTTATTTCCATATATATATATATATATATGAAATTTGTCATTCCTAAAATAACAATTCTCTGCTTTAGGCTCATGTATCCTCATTTATATATCAGCAGTGAGAAATTAAGATTTTTACAATGGAATCCATAGTAGTTCCAGCAGTATCAAACTGAAGAATATATGTGGGCTGGGCATGGTGTGAAGGGGCAAGCACAGATGAAAAGAGGGCTAGTAACAGGAACAGTGTGTCAGGCCGACAGATGGAAGATTTGGTATTTGAAACTTCGGTGATCTTTAGATCCCATGATGTTATGATTTAGCTTCTTTTCAGTGCTGAGAATGATGACCAGAGTCCTGTACATGTCAGGCAGATACTCCGTCAGTGAGCTATATACCCAGACCATTTGATGTTATCCTTTTTAGAAAATATTTTTATTTTATATGTAAGAATATTTCACCTGAATGTATATATTTATGTCATATGTATGCCTGGTGCCCATGAATACCAGAAACAGACACTGAATACACCAGAACTAGAGCTACAGATGGTTGTAAGCCACAGTTTGGGTTCTGGGAACTGAACTAGGCCTCCCTGGGAGAGAAGCAAGTGCTTTTAACTGGAGCCATGTCTCCAGCTACATTTTGATGTTGTCTTAATCAAAACCCTAGCTTACTTTTAAAACCCAAAGATTGGAGAGCAGATTCTAAAAGACACATAGAAAGCAAAGGAACTTCTAAAATGAGAAGGATTAATGAGATGGCTCAGCGAGTAGAGGGGCTTGCTGCCAAACCTGACAACCAGAGTTTGATCCCTGGGAACTTACGTAGCTGAGGGGAAGAAACTTAATTATTAAGAGTTGTCCTTTGACTTCCATCACATGTGTATCCATGGACACATGTACATACAGATGCATAGGCACACATAATGCAATAGATAAATAATATAATGAAAAAATATTTTTAAAGAATCTCCTGTATGTATACAATGAAATGTGATCATATCTATCTCTTATTTCACCCTCTAACTCCTCCCACATGTCTGCAATACAACTCTCTCTATCCTCATTTCTACTCCTAAAAATAATAACAAGCACCTCCAATAAGTCCACATATCTGTGTACTGTGCACTGGAGCATTGGAAATCTACCAGTGGCTACATCTTCAGAAAACAATGATTCTTCCTTCCCCAACAACTATCCACTACCTCTGGATAGTATCCACTGTACTCTGACAGGAGCAAAGCTGGAAAGCTCTCCAACCAGCCATAACAGTCAAGGACAGTTTAGCATTCTCTAAGCTACAGACCTATCAAATGAGTAGAATGGACTAGAGACTCCACAGATTGACCTACATAGATGCTGTAGCTGGTAAGCGAGGAAGGTGTAAAGTCAATTAAGAGAGTCCCTGGGAGCTTTTGTCTCTTCTCCTCAGTGTTGAGATGACAAGTGTACTACCATTCCTGGCATTAGTTAGATTGGTGCTAAGGGGTTAAAATTGTGTCCTCTGGCTTTCAAAGCAGACACTCCATTGACTCAACTGTCTACAGAGCTAACACTTTGTATTATTGTCTTGTGAACAAATGGTTCTGTATGAAAGCAAACCAAAAACCCAGCAACAATGACAAAAAATTCTTTTGATCCATAATTCACAACAGAACAAGAAATCTTATGTATTACAAGAATTTTTAAGGAAAGCACAGAAGAAAACTTGAACAATTTAAATTTGGTGAAGAATTTTTTTTGACATGCCACAACCCATACTAGACAAAAACAAATTAAATTGGATCTTATAAAATGTATATGTTTTCCTCATGAAAGGCACTGGTAGAAGAATGGAAAGCCTTACTCTGGGTGAAAATATTTTCAATGTGGGGTTAAGAGGAAGAGTTGGGACTAGCCAAAGTTCACATCACAAGTGATTATCATGTTCTCTTCAGTGTCATGTGATGTGAAAGGTTCTTCTCTGTGATGTTGTCTACCTTAGTCTGATGGGAAAACATAAGACAAATCTGAGCTGAAAGGATGTCTTTAAAACATGCAAGCACTGGGCTAGAGAGATGAATCAGAAGTTAAAGGGTAGGCTCACAAGCAAAACTATAAAATATACACTCATCCAAATTACCAAGTTATTGGTCACAGATTAGAGAAGACTGAGGATGATTGATGGATGCTACATGGTATTCTGTTCTCTAACAGCAGAGGGGTATTGTTGAGAAGACCAGAGATCCAAATATAGCTGGCAGCTAATGTAAAAGTATTGTACTGAGGAGAGTCAGTTTTGTTTAGTGTATCCTGGTTTTTTCAGATATTCACGTTAAGAGACTCTCAATGAAACGGGTATTTCTGTGTATTGTTCTGTACTGTCTTTGCAACTTTTAAAATTACAATTACCTTCTAAAATTTAAAAGGTAAAACATTATTGATTTTCATTTCAGCCCTCTCAGTTTTAACAGAAGTTGCTGTGATTCCAGGTTTCCTTCCCCTTACAGGCCCTGTGTGTAGTTTTTGTTGGCTCAGTATGGAACACACTTCCTTGTACTGGGCAGGATTTCAGCTTTAGTGCCTTCTCTCACTCTCCAGTTTCCAGTGGTGATCATGGAGGGGGCACTAAGGCTTAGCTTTGCACCCATGGAGTCTCACTGGAACTTGATTCTCAGGTCTTTATTTTGTCTGTCTAGCATAGGGGATTGCCAAACTCCTGCTGATTTCTCTGTCCTCCAGCAGTAGACCTATCAAACAAAACATAGAGTCTTGGCATTTGTTCTGTGCTCAAAATCCACAGACGGTCCAAGAGGAAAGCCAGGTGGTACATTAGTTCATCTCTTTGGGGTTATCTTTTCTGGAGAGTCTTATAACTGCAATTATAGTTATTTGAGCAGCCTTTTGATGCTTTTAAATAGCAGAAGAATTAATATAATCATTCTACTCTGTCCTATTCAGAAATAGGAGACTTTTACTCTACTTTTTAAAATTAACTTAGTTTTGTATTTGCTTCTGGTTTGACTTTCTGGATATAAGATACTGCTTCTCATGCTAGCCACTAATTTCAATACAGTCCACCAGCAAATGGAGCACAAACTAATAATTACCCAACATTTCCTGCCTGTGTTCACTCATATAGCACCCTTTCCCTGAGTAGCTGTGTGCTCTTCCCAGCATTGTGCAAAGCTTAGAGGCTTTTAGAAAATCAAATTTTCTTCCTGTACAGTGTTTTTAATAAACCACTGAATGAATATGAAACAGAAAAAAAGAAAACAGTGTGCTACAACATGCAATTAAGTGTATGAATACAAAGCATAAGCATGACTTACTCTCAGAGAAAATGTAAAACTGGCATATAGGAACAATAACATTTATTAGAGATTAGGCCCGTGTATACATTAGTCTATTTTTTCCTTACAATAATCTTGAAAATTAAGTGTTATTATGAAATAAGTAGTATTTCAAAGACGAGGAAGCGACATTGAGAAAGACTAAGTGACATATAAGGCTTTATAAGGTTTCATAGCCACTACAGATGCCTTTAACCAGGATTCGAGTCCAGGTAACATCCTTGACCTTAACCACTCCACTCTACAGTGATGAATACTAAGGACATCCTTATACACATAAGCCCAGAGATGTGTCAAGCTTAAGCATGTAAGAGCCATAGATATGTACATATTAAAAAATAAGTCAGTGTGAACACACCAGACATGGCTGCTGACATACTTGCTGTATCATCACACACACACACACACACACACACACACACATAAATATATATATATATATATATATATATATATATATATATATATATTTATATGTTGAAATTAACTTTGTAATAGTGAGTGGGAAGTTGGTTTAGGACAAGAATAAGAGTTTGGAATGAGACTTACCAAAGTAATGTGATGGAGGAGAAGAATCAGTCCAAAAGTGTGTATGATTTGCCAG